CGTTTTATTAGAGGAGAGGGACAGACGTGGCAGCATCTATTCTAGGAGGCAGCGGGAGGAAGATCTTCAAGAAGATGCGTACCGCTCGTTGTTTTAGGATACTTCGTGTGTGGTCTTATCCTGTCCCTCTATTCTGGGTTGTAGGAAGCGTAAAGTGGCCCTTTGTTGACTTCTCGCTGGTTTCAACTTATATCCAAAACTTAAAGAAAGGCAATTCCTAACTGCCAGAATACCATGCCCACAAATTATTCTAACCAATCGATGACCATCCCGGTCCAGCCTCCGCATTCTGAAATAGTAACTTGGAAATAAGTCAGAGGGGACGTTACTGCGCCTACACGAAGAGAAATTATCTTTGGGGGAGGGGGAGAATGACCTAGTCGGCAGTAGAAAGTTATTGATTTAGTTTTTGTTTTCTTTTTACCTCATCGTCTTCAATATGAACGAGCGAACCGATTAGCAAAATCTTTTTCGGAATTTGTCGGCAAAGCGTCACATCACCCATGTCTTTCAGTTTCTCCACAATTCAGATTTGGCTGCATCGACTTCCGGTTATCGGTGTTTAAGGGAAGATACATTTAGAAAATGAAGGAAAACGCGACAAAATATTAAATAATGGTCTTGAAAGAGGAATTTGAAAACTGTTTTGAAAAGTGGAAGAGAGGCTGAGATAAGACCCGGGGGGGGGGTTACTTTAAATAGGACCAAGAATCCATTGCCCTGCGGCAGCTGTTTTTTATTTATTTATTTATTTATTTATTTTGTCGTTAATATTAAATGGTGGGATGAGTTATGGAAAGACGCCATGTGTTCGAATGATTACAATATACTACCAAGTATTTCGATTATCATGTTCTTCTAGTTCAAATAAGGTAAATGTATTTTATGACTTCAAGAGTACAACAGGCATCTGCCAATTTTGGTACAGCAGTCGTCTGCCAATATCCGCGACCGAGCTCGGAGTCGTCTTCTTCCATTTGAAGTGAATTTTCCAGGTTTTTCTTTTACGTCTGTATATCAAATGTTTCGTGAATTCCATTTAAACTATCCTTTAATTGTGTTGAAAGAAAATTCTAAAACTAATTCTTTGAAATTACGCAGTATTCTGATTGATCACATGGACGAATATCTGATAGCAATGACAGAAGAGGAATTTGTAAACTATTCTCCATTGTTCAAAAGAGCTTGGAATAACTTTGTTGGAAGAAATAAGTGAAACATACCAATATTAATATTGATTTTTGAAATTCGACCTCCTAGAATCGTTCTAGGTGCCAATGTATTTACCAATTTATATTTGTTTTGTTTTTTTCGGACGATTAATCCTTAAGTCATGACAGGAAGATAGAATGTGCAGCACATTCTTTAATTCCCCAAAGGTATTGAGACCAAAATGTAATTCCTCATTTGTCATTTTTCTTGAAATATCCAAGTCTGCGACACATTGTTTTATTCTACGAGGTGCTAATTTTGGAATGGTGCCAACGTTCAATGACTTTTAGAAAATTCTTTTTAAAGAGCATAAAAATTCATCTATTTCATTTCAATTTGTTGTTTTTAATAATAACATCACCTGAAAAATATGCTTTAACCAGTTTTTCTTTATTTCATTGTTGCTTCTTAGGTTTACTTTCTCGAACAAACACTTTCCAGACGTTTAATTAAAGAGAAGTGAAGGCAGAAACAGCTGTTGATGAAATTTGAAATCCAATATCACATACTTGGTTAATGTGTCGACTAAAAAAGACGAGCTCTCAGAATATAGAATGGGGAATCAAGTCTCGTCGGAAGCTATTTATGCCCTTGATATAATGTTAACTTCTCGTTACGTTCTCATCCACTGTCTGAAGTATCCTACATTTCAATGGCGATAGCCGGAAGTCGTATGCAGTCGAATATGAGCTATAAAAGAACCGAAAGACGTTGATGATGCGATGTGTTCTCGAGAAATTTCACACGAGACTTCACTGATTTATTCGCTATTTTTTAAATTTATGATGCGACGTTCAAACGGTAGAAAAATGGCGTCCTACTGCTGACTGCGTAACCCTACACCTAACAACTATCACGATAATCAGGATAGTTTATGTTCACGCATGCGCAGTAAGGTCCCTTTTGTTTGTTGACCAAATTACATCAATACCAATGAAATCAATGCAGGAGATATTAATAATGGTTGGATGGTTCGAGACAAATCTCGTTCAAGTCTGCTCTCTTTTCCTACGTCAGCTAGAAAATCAAACATAATAACAAAACAAAAAAATAAAAAAAATGCGACCGACATTAATGGTGAAGAGTTATTGGACTTAAAAGTTGGGATGAAAAAGTAACGATGTTACGAAAAAAAATTAATAAGGAAAATAGGAATTCCGAATAAATCAGCTAATGGATTGCTCGAAAAATAACAGTTATTTTGCAACATTTAAGAAATATTGCAATGTAATAAAAAATCAATAACTCGTCACTCTTTATAGATTGCTCTCAGATTATGTACTTTTCTATAAATTTAAAATGTTTTTCTTTCTCTCGCAGATAATAATTTGTGTGTTAATGGCTACAGAGTGAGGAGTGAAGTGTCGCCCATTGTGTTCTGTTTTGAATACCATTAATTCATTTACATAGTTTTCCAGTAATTAAATCACTAATCATATTATGTCAGGAAGTAAATTACGTTTCTGCAGTTACGAAATGAAGATGTCGCTCTCGAAGATGAAGAGAATAGAATTGGAAAACAGTCTTCGCAGCTCAAGAAATAGCCTAGCAAATTTTTTTCTTTTATATGCGATCATGGCTTTCCATAAATTCATGTCCTTTGTAGCTCTACGTAAACTCTGTTCTCATACAGTCCCTTTTTCCTTTTTCTTTCAACCATTCATGCCAACTTGTTGAATAGATTATTCGTTGCTTCTCCCTGCTTGCTACGTCTTCAATATGCCCAGTGAATGTTAGACTCTCCAGGCCCGCTTTCCTCATTGTGTTTCCCAAAACTTTCAGCTGTCTCTTTCTGATTGTAATCCAGTTCTTACTAGTGTTTCCTACTTTCTTTAAAACTTTCACCGGCAATCACTGCCATATAAGAGATTAGATATGTAGCAGTTCAGCATTGTTTTCTTTCCTCTAGCAACATTTTTCTATCTCCTGATACTTTGCATAGTTTCTGGAAGGCTACTTTCGCGATTTTTATGCTCCTTCGATATTCTGTCATATCTTCGTCATCTTTGACGATAGTACCTAGATAGTTAGATTTACGCACCTACTTTATGTTAACATCTTCACTTTTACTGACAAGAATACATTCCATCTTTTTACAGTTAATGGTAAGTCTTTTCTTCTTGCTATCCTTTGCTACATTCTCTTGGAGTTTTTAAGATTGTGTACGCTAATAATGAATCCTGATAGATATTCTACTACTGAGTAATAATGTGTTTTTAGTACTCATATACTTTATATATATATTCATATATATATATATATATTGTTGCATTAAATATACCTTATATATACTCATATACTTTAGTACTCATATATACTCATATACTTTATATATACTCATATATATACTCATATACTTTGTATATACTTTATATATACTCATATATATATATACTCATATACTTTACTGCTCACATATACTCATACACTTTATATATACTTTATATATACTCATATATATATATATATACTTATATACTTTAGTGCTGATATATACTAATATACTCATATATACTCATATATAATCATATACTTTATATATGCATATATATATATATATATATATATTGTTACATTATATATACTTTATATATACCCATATACTTTAGTACTCATATATACTCATATACTCATATATACTCATAGATAGTGTGTTTTGAAGACTCTTACTACTCTTAAGATCGGCTCGGAGAGAAACGAATCTATAATCTATAAATATTTCTCTTTCTATTTTCATGTCTTCTCTGAACTCATTCTCTATCCGCATACAGACTATTTGGTCTCAAAAAAGTTTACATTTACTCTAATCACTTCCCCGTGTAAATCAAGTTCTTAGTGTCATTCTCTTTAAAATACCTTTGTGTAATCTTTGAAACATATAATCTTTGAAACATATAATCTTGAAAACATATAATCTTTGAAACATATAATCTTTAAAACATATAATCTTTGAAACATATAATCTTTAAAACATAATATTTGAAACATATAATCTTTGAAACATAATCTTTAAAACATATAATCTTTGAAACATATAATCTTTGAAACATATAATCTTTGAAACATATAATCTTTGAAACATAAGTATATGTCTTTCTGTTCGGTCTGCTAGAATTCTGATCATAAATATAAAAGTGTTTGTTTCTGTCTCAATAATTGTTGTATAGGAATAAAGTGTCGTTGCTGACACTGTAGTTTGAAGACAGATTATCACAGTGAGCAATCACGGACGATTCCACTGTTAAATAAGTAGATCACTTGATCGTAAAGGAAACGTATATGGCAATTAGCGTGATGTCTAACTTATCGCTATTCTCTATACTCGTCATTATACGAATTACTATTCGGCTATTACTATTTGAACAAGTATTATTAATGTGAGTATTATTTTAAGGCGTTACTACTACCAGTATCTGCATTTCCAAAGTCTCGTCTACAACGAGAATTTCGGAAATGATAACGAGTATTCGTTGACCTAACGAAAGTTACGAGTGAGCGTCTAGCATCACAAAAGTAATAAATGATCGATTTGGTTTTTTTTTGGTTTTTTTCTCATCAGCATTTTGAAGTTTATTTAAAACCAAAAATATTTTTAAATTGTAAGAATATTTTGTGGAGATGATAATGATTTTTACTGATACACGTCCTACTAATTAACCCATAGCAGTGGGGGGAGAAAGTGGATTCATACCTTTCCCAATAGCATTTGCAATTAATTGAATATAACAAACCCGACAGGAATTGGAACTCGGCTCTCAATTCTGAGCTGTTATCCATTACACCTTTCGTACAGCACCTGGTATTTCTAAGCAGTTACCCATCTACGTACGAACCAGGCTCGACATTGCTTAACTTCGGTAATCGTAAGAGAACCGGTGTTTCAACATGATGCGGCCGTAAGCCTCCAATCTTAATTTCTTTGCACAGATGTCTTATAGTAAGACAATCTTATTGAAAATTGTGCGTGTGGTCTTGAATTTTATTGCCGTTTTCTACAGACGTTGTGCACACTGTTTTCTTCTTCTTATGTAACTTGATAGCTGACTCATTGGTGTCAGCGTTTGTCTCTTTCCGATGCACTGATCTTGCCATATGTCCGGCCCAATCGCGAGCTATATTCGTTAGAATTCTAATGATTTGTTTCCTCGTTTGGTTCATCAAGCTGATAATACGATAGGTCTATGTTCAATTTCCTCGTCTCTTCCACTAATTTTTTAATCATTTCACCCCAGGCAAGGCAATAAATCCACTAATAACGTAAGAGGTTCTTGAGTGTTAGAGAATATGAGAAAAATATTAAGGAGAGAGAACAATAGAATAATAAGAATTAAGGCGATTTACTTGCCCCCCACACACACACACACACACACACGCACATACACACTGAGTGAGCTTGTGACTGACACAAGGTCGGTTTTTAACGTGGGGACTCGAGTGTTTTCACTCGAGCTGTTGGCCTAAGCTGATCTTAGCTGGCCATTGCTTGTCCAAGCTGGTCAGAGCTGGTCCAAGGTAGTCATAGCCTGTCCAAGCCGATCAGAACGTGTCTAAGCTAATCATAGCCGTGATACGTCCTGACTTGTGACAGGGAAGTATCAAGAATAAGAATTAAGAAGACAGAATATAACGATTGACATGGCATTTAAATTTTTGAAGATCAAAGTTGACTGAAAAGCAAGAAGTTGCAAGAGGGTTCTACAAACTAGAAGTGTGATAAAAGAAACTGTTAGCATCTAATTTTAACTATAAAATGATGAGACCTTTCCGCCAATCTAGTACTGCCTTTAAATTCATAATGTCTAGATACCATACAAAAATGTTCATCAGAACAATTACTTGAGATTATTTATAGGAAAGACAGGAAAATTTGTTAGAACTGATCCATATACCGAGGTATTTGAAATGTTTACCAATTCCACATTCAGAATTTTGACGATAGCATATCTATCACAAACACACTTCGCTCTGTTACTGTTAATCTTGGCCAATGCCGATCTTTCCTTAAATGTTAATATTACTTTGTTTTCAATGTTTTTTATTTGTTTTATTTTCTCTTCTCGGTTGTCATGGAAAAGCTCTCTGATGTATTCATCCCATATTTGTGGTTTCTTTATTTTCTCTGGGTGTTGCAGCAAGTTCTTTTATCTTTTTATGCCTGCCTCCTATGTATCCTTCTTCTTTATGTGGCGTGTGCCCTCAGGACATAACCAATTATGGCTCTCCACTACTTCCTGTCACTTGTAGCTCTTAATAAATGTCGTTTTGCTATTTCTCCTAAACCCTGTTCTGACTTCAATTTACTCAAGCTTATCAAATACGTTGCGCACTGCTTTACTCTGTCCTTCTTTCCCTCAATCTGTCCTTGTGAGTCTCAGGTTTTCCAAGCCCTCCGTCGTCATTATGTGCCGCAGAAAGTTCAACTCCCTCTCCGTGATGTTAAGTATAAGTTTGTTTTTTGTTTCCATTTTCTTTAAAACCTCGTCTTTGCCGACATGTTCAATCCATGGTATCTTCAGCATCCTTCTGTAGAACCACATTTCTGTTGCTTCAAGTCTCTTCTTCATTTTGTTTCTAACGAAGTTTTTCTGTCTCTTAATACTCTGCTTAGCTTTTGCGAGGCATTTTCTGTCTCTTAATGCTCTGCCTAGCTTTGGAATGTATTTTTGGCCGTCCCAACGCGTCTTCTGATTTCAGTGTCCTCTGTTATAACACTTCCCAGAAATTTAAACTTTACTATAATTAAAAGTTCCAATTTCAACAATTTGAAGCCATTTCATACGATTCCTAAATATTTTCATAAGTTGAGCTATTTAATCCTTCCTTCTAATTCTCTAAAATGATTACAACATTTTCAAAAAACTTGCATCATTTTTTTTCAAAGATGTCTTAAAATAATAGGTTTTTATACCTGTATATTCTTCTTTTTGGCTTTTAAAATCAGTGTGTCTACTACTCATACTGAAACCTAACGATATTGAAAACTGTGCATATGATTTTGAACTTTGAAATTTATTTTCGACTCAAGTTCTGCACACTGTTTCTTCTTATGTAACTTAATGGCTGACCCATTGGTGAAGAAATGGTTTTTATTTGACTGAAAAAGTTACAAAATCTGAGTATTTTGCTGGTGGCTAAAAAATTACTTGACCTCTTTCCTACCTAGAATCTAGGAGGCATCATGAACGAACATGCTGTAAGATGGCTTCTTGCACTTGTCCAAATGAAAGCAATATTCTCAAGTAGCAGTTCTGGAGAAATTAATTAGGAGACAGAAAACGTTTATAAATTTCCTTCACTCATTTAAAACTTGATTGGAATCCGTCAAGGCTTCTTATGGGAAATCAATTAAAAATATTGATATGTTCGTTGGATTCGCTTAGAAAAAAAAACAAAGTCGGTTTAATTATGACAACAACCTATACTAAAATTAATTCACTGCCGGGAATTTCTCATCTAGTTGCTACTCTTTTTTTTAAAGATTTTCAGCAGAAAAGAAAGAAAATAGCTGGTTGATATCATTCGATGTGATTAAATAAATGTTTTTTTTAAAAAAACTTTTAACATGTAACATGGAAATACATGTCAAAAATGTCCTCTTGAATATTTCTGACGGAAAGCATCATTATCGATAACTTTTGATGTGGATGATTAATACAGTTTTTGAAAGAATAAAAAAATGAACGACAAATGTTCACAAAGCATCGCTCTTTTAAAATGATGTTAGATTTCGTGTAGGCTTCCGGTTGGTATGAGAAATAGTGATTTTGTCTTCCTTCCAAAAAAGTGTAATTTTATCAACTTTGTCATTTTTTTTTTAATTTAACTTTTTCACCGCTTAACTTTCCAGCCTTCCTCAGATCTCAGATGTCAGTTTTAGTTTTGGAATGTCAAACCTTCCTCTCTCTCTCCCTCCCTTCCCTCTCCCCCTCTCTCCTTCTCCCCTCTCTCTCCCTCCCTCTCCCTCTTTCTCCCCATCTGTTAATGGATCACAGAACATGGACTGAGAGAGATAGTAAGGGGAAAAACATTGCTTAGAGCTACAAAGGATAGAAAGTTGTGGAGATCCATGAGCAACCTAACGAGTCTGTGATAATGTATGGCAGAACATGGACTGGGAGGGATAGTTAAAGTACAAACCTTGCCTTTGCTGAGAGCTACAAAAGATAGGAAGTCATGGAGAGCCATGATCAACCTACCTAACTATCCTGTGTTAATGGATGGAAGAATATGGCCTGGGGGTATAGTAAGGGGACAAACATTGCTTAGAGCTACAAACGATAGGAAGTTATGGGGAGCTATGAACCACTTACCTAACGAGCTTGTGTTAATGGATAGTAGAACAGGGACTAGGAGAAAAGTATGGGTATAAGCATAACTTAGATCTACAAAGAATAGGAAGTTGTGGAGAGCCATGATCGCCCATATTCTGAAGTGTCAGTATATATAAAAGAAGACAAAGTGTAAACTGGACACATGTCCACTTATATTTTTACTGTTTTCATTTTATTACACACAAATGTTTTAAAGAATTAATATTATTGATATGGAAAACAGTATTGCGATTTCTGTCTTTTAAGAATCCTATTCAACACTGAGTTAAACAACATGGTCATTAAGCAACTTAACCTAATTAAATTAATTATATTCACGCCAGAGTATGCCCATCATGACCTTTATTCTACAGAGTACTGACCTCAAGCGGCATTAACTTCAAACGATGTGTAACAGCACTTGCATACTGGTTAATTCTGAATACTGAAATTCTGCGTGCCAATATTCTACAAACTGCTTTATTTAATCTTTTATTTTGAGCGCAAAACGACGTTGAATTTATTATTTCAAGTCATTTTATGCCACTAAAGCTTTGATCTGGACACCGACACAGAAAAGAATAGTAAATGATTTTATCTAAATCTTTAGAGTAATTTTTTTTTGTAGCAGTAGAATTCCCGAAGGCGAAGGCGCATCTTCAAAAAGTTAATAAATAACTAAATAAAAACTTTTGGAGTCAAGCGCAACATGGTCGGAAGCTGCAATTTTCCGTTCACAGTTTTATATATATAGTAACAGTTAATGAAAACAGGCGCTCCGTCATTGAAATCCGATGATATCGTAGTCTATCATAGTAGAAGTTAACTCAAGTGTCCTAGCCCACAGCCCGGTCAAGTTAATAAAAAATTAAATATATTGGGAACAAACTTTGAGTCTTCATTTCTTACTATGGTCACGCTTTGTTTCCTTGTGAAATACATGGACCTTTCACAATTGTTGTACACACCGATTTGAACGAGAACAGAGATGTAACAAGTGGTTATGTGTTCGGTCAGTGAACAACTGAGAGAAGTCTTTCTGATATGTTTAGAATTCCAGATTTTGAAAATTTAAAGTGCTGAATGCCACAAATGATAACGATCATTGAGAATTTTTCACGTCCTTCCTTTAATTGCACTATATTTTAAATGTAAATAAAATGGACATCATTATTTTAACTTGAGGGGACACTTTCAGCTAACACTTTCTGAAAAGGTGAACGTTGGCGAGCCTCAGTAAACAATAAAAGACACATTAGTAAATAACGGATCAGGTGTGAAAATTGGAAAACAATTAAAATAGAGGATGTCTGTGTTTCTGTCTGACTGTTTGTCTGTCTGTGTGATACCTTTTCAGTTGAGATCCATCTAACCAATTTTGATCAAATTTGACACATACATTGTATAATGTAAGAGATAGGTTCTTAGCGTAAAAAATCGATAATTTTTGAAAATCGATACACCCGATCAAAAATCGGTAAATTCAACTTTTTTCCTTCGAATTAGTTCAAACTCGGTATGTAGGTTACTTACATCATGACTAACTCAACGATAACTCATTTTTATTTCTACGCCACTGCATTTAGCGA